AAAAGGAAATTCTGCAAGGAAGCTGGCCTTTATTTATCTGTGTGATTTTTTTTTTTTTAAATTCCGTTTTGGTCTTCTTATTGGCCTTTAACATGCATAGTGAAGATCTGACCTTAGCTTTGCTCTCTGAATTCACATAATGATTTTTAAAATATTCTAATATATGGCTTCCATAACGCCAGATCAATAAACCAATAGTTCTGACATGACAGAGTATTGCGATATCCCTCTGTAATTTAAACATGATTAGCTGATGACGATTATGATCAATATGCTAGAAGAAGAACAATTAATTGATATCCTTTCTGGATGATAAGAGGCCTATTGCAAGTGGGATGTAACTAATGAAGCTGCTTCTTCGTATATACGAGCCATTTTTTATAAACGTATTCTCATTAAATCATGGTTATGCCATCATTCATTTACATGAAAAACATAAGCTGCAGACCACTTCCTTATTAAAATTACATTCATTTGGAAAGAAATTGTATGCATATGCAACTGAACAGTATCTGTGTCTATATTATAATGTACTGGGGAAAATCATCGGCTCATTTACATAAATATCTTTTTTATACCATCTGAACAAGACAGAGATTGAATACTGTTGAATTTAATTACATCATCTTATATCAGCAGCAACAATGGTTGCAGTAAATACAGATGCTGGTATGGGCAGAGCTAATGGACTATAGGCTCCTTTGGAAGTAACTGTGTTTTATACACCTACCCTGCTTCCTGTACAATTCAGAGTCTCAATACTCATAACCTTGGCTGGGCCATTTAAAAAAACAAATCTCAAGCTGTGAACCAGCAAATAGATATGGCCCACAGACAGTCCTCCTTTGCTCATACCCTTTATTAGCAAGACAAACCAAAACAAGCATAGTTCAACCCTTCTCTATTCAGAATACTGTTCACTGTGGTCAGGAGACTCGACCAGATCCCATCCTGTTCTCAGATATGGTCCAATAACACCTTTCTCCAATCCATAATTCCACAGTGAGGCAGGAAAAACTAATCTACTGTTTCTGACCTCCGTATGTGCACTAGAAATCGCACTATGCCAGATAGTATATTTTACCTTCCCAGGGAGCTGCAAACCTTGAGGGTAGCCTATCTATCAACCCATAGAGGAGAATAAGGAGTCAACATGTCTTTTAGAATGTATTGCAGTTTTATTTCAAAAGTGTCGAAAACTGGTTTTGGGTGTAGCCCAGCGGTAGATGCCTGTGTGTAGGCCATGTACTTTTTTTACATGTGTGTGTGGTTTGAATGCCTGAAATATGACAGTACAGATTGAACCTCTCAAATCCACAGCTCTCTGGTCCAGCAACATCTGTGGTTGCTGGACCAAAGAGCCCCAGAGGATAGGAGCAGGAGACAGCCGGGAGTCTCATGGGGAAGCAGGGCCGGTCGGGGAGAAGGCACCCATTAAGCCACCTATGCTTCTTAAAGTGTACATGGCTAAGAGAAACTTTCAAAACAACCAATAGTCTTGCAGCACCTGAGAGACTAACAGAACATGTAGATGGGATCATGAGCTTTTGTGGGCACAGCCCACTTCTTCATCTGAAAACTATTTTGTTGTTTTTTAATTTTTTTCCAGTTACAGGCTAACTCGGCTACTCCTCTGAAGCTTTTGAACATTGCTAAGCAAGCTAGTTTTCATAAACAGTATAGCTGATTGGCCACTGCTGTAGCTTTTAGTCTTCATTTAGCTCAGCGGTTCCCAGCCTTTTCCAGATGGGGACCTATTCTGACAATTCAGGAAGACTTGGTGACCCAAAGCAATTCAAAAATGGGGGGGAAGCGAGGGCAGAGCCACTTGGGGAGACACTTGGCAATCCCTTTGAAATGCAATGGCGACCTATATTTGGGAAACCCTGATTTAGCTGTATATAATTTTAAAATTGTACTGTCACCTTATGGTTAGCCAGTGACCCAAAAGATAGAGAATTTAAATAAAGTTTCAAAATTTAATTTTAAAGCATGCAAAGCTTAAAAGTGGTTTTCCCGAAGCCTTAACTTTCAAAAATATTCAGGTGTGTCCTGAAAGTAATCCCACAAATACTGTACTTCTCTCCTCCAATGTTATATGGAAGGTGTGGATAAATGAACCCATCTTGCACTCCTAACTATAAAGCTGTTACAGGAAGGCTCCATATTTAATGAAATTTTAATGGTTTCTAAGTCTGTTCGAGCGGTTTTGTTTGTGTTGCTGAAAATTTCTCCTTAATCTTCAGAATGAATTTCTCATTTTTCAGGATATATTAGTGTTGCACACTGAAAAAATAGGGGTCTAAAATAGGAATTACAGTATAATATTTTTATAATTTTAGTTATTGATGGACTCTTCTCATTTCATAAATAATGTGGATATATTTTATCAGTTGCCTGCCGGAAAGGTGACATAATTTGAAGCACTGGTAATATGGGGACTCTGTCAGCAACAATATATCTCTGTCTCTCCTTTTCAGTCTTTTATACCTGGTGTCTTTTCAGAGTTGACTGTTTTGATCCAGTGAAGGAATTTTTAAAGATTGCTCAGGTTTATGCCTCTGCAGCATTAATTTTAAAGCTAATATATGTGAGCTCCTTAGGTGAAGTGGAGAATGACGTATTCTTGATGTAGAATAACACACATGTCCATTTCGGGATATGCAAGAATATTCCACTTGCACTCTTCATTCACCAACTAACCTTGCAGTAATACATCTCTTTACAGAGAATTACCCAGTGTACTTGTAGCGCTGTTGGGCTCATGTGGTGCACTGTGGAAGTAGGCACCCTACCTATCAAGAGAGGTGAAGCAATCATTTCTGTTCAAGGTAATCTTGGTGGACATTGAAAGAGTTCTGTCTCAGACCACACTGCAGGAGAAAGGATTGTCCCTGCCCCCAGATGCCCTCTTTTTGCTGGCAATGGCTTTTAGTCTGCACCTGCACCCTTCTCCTTGTGCTCCACAGATGCATCCATTCCACACACAGAAGGTTCTTCGTTGAGTGCTTCCTCATGTTGATTCCATGCCAGGTGTGTGTGTATCACATGAGCTGCTGCTAGAAAATCTTCCCCTGGTGATATTTGTAGGGGTGGGTCTTGCACCCTCTGGTGCTACTGGTTCCTCCTTGTCTCCTATGACGGTTGCTGAAACAGTGCTTTTGCTTTGGCAAACCTCTAGTGATTTCTCCTGACTTCCATTGTGAAAGTTTTGTTAGGTGTTACAATTTAGCGTCACATTTAGTTTGTCCCTTATGGGACGTTGTTCTTGGGATAGAACATTGCCTGGGGTTCATACCATGTGGAGTGTGTACTAAGCTCATGCCAGTGTGAAGCCCAGTGTGAAGCAAGATACACGGAAGAAAGCAGTCTAGTAGGAAATGTTACATAGCCAAGTGAAAACTTTTTTCAATCTGTTCACAATTATCAGTTGCTGAGGACTTTGACATCCCCATTATTTTGGAGTGTCTTTTATTCTTAAAACCGTTGGGGGTCTCAGTGAGTTCATCTCAGGTTCACTTGGTGCCCATAAATCCTCTGACTGCTCGTCTTGTTTGAAAGGGCTCGTTAGAACTTTCTCATCTGTGAGTAGGCCCATTCTGACATGACTTCTCAGGTCTCACAAGATCTCCATTGGAACGCTTGTCTTCACGTTCCTTATCCCATTTAGCCAGGATAGTCACCATTCTAGGTGGCCATCACCTCAGAAGGATTAACAGGGAGCTCACCAAATATGCAGTCTTTCACAGCAATAAAATGGCTCTGAGGTTATATCGGAAGTGTTCTGCTCAAGTGACCTTGGATTTTGATGTGAATCAGCCTCTGTGTCCTTCCCAAAAACCTCAAATCTGTACCGTTAGTGAAGACAGAAGGGTTCAGTTCTTGGGCATCCACTGAGCTGCGGCATTCTACCTACAAAGAACAGGTTGATGATGATGATGATGATGAGTATTCCCACGGAGATGCTATGCTTTTGCAAATAGGAGGAAAACCGATTCAGTGCCTTCACAAATGGGGAGATGGGACATGTAGTTCACAATATGAAATAGACTGATAATCCCCACATATATGTTCCAACTCTGTGGTCCTACACTTCAAATGTAGCTTGAAATCTTTTTTTTTTCTTGTGCCAACAATCTAAAGATGTTAACTTTTTTTTATTCATGACCCAAAGCTAATCTGCAGATCTCGTTCTACAACAGCGTTAGTCTGAGGGTACGTCTAGACTATATGCCTCTGTCGCCAGAGGCATGTAGATTAGGCTACCAGGCATAGTAAAATGAAGCGGCGATTTAAATAATCGCCGCTTCATTTAAATTTACATGGCTGCCGCGCTGAGCCGACAAACAGCTGATCAGATGTTTGTTGGCTCAGCGTGATAGTCTGTACGCGCGGGTGGCGACATCAAAGGTATTTGTCGACCACCCAGGTAAGCCTCCTGGGATGAGGTATACCTGGGTGGTCGACAAATATATTTGTTGAGCTGAGCCGACAAACAGCTAATCAGCTGTTTGTCGGCTCAGCGCGGCAGCCATGTAAATTTAAATGAAGCGGCGATTATTTAAATCGCCGCTTCATTTTACTATGCCTGGTAGCCTAATCTACATGCCTCTGGCGACAGAGGCATATAGTCTAGATGTACCCTGAGATTAGTCCCGAACCGTGTTTTCACTTTACTTGGATTCACTCCCTGGAAGAGCATGCCACAGAAGAACAAAAAAATGGGTTTTACCCTCAAAAGTTCATTATATATATAAAATTATATTTTTTATGTTTATATTTTGTTGGTCTCTCTGGTGCCACAGGAGTACTCATTTTTAAAATGACTGCCTGCTTAGACTTTTGTAAAGTAATACCTTCAATTTTAAGACTCCAAACCTTGCAGATTAGCAGTGTAGAATTAACTGTTTTCTGTCTGTGTTCTGTACACTTGGAATTGTGATACTTTGTAGCCTACACTTTTGCTTAATCATTTACATACTTCTCTCTTGTTGTTTTAGTTGCCCAGAAGATTGTGGCAACAAGGAAGAAACAGCAGCTTTCAATAGGTCCCTGCAAATCTTTACCGAACTCTCCAAGTCACTCGTCTGTGTGTTCTGCCCAGGTTTCCGCTGTTCATATCACCCAGGTACAGTATGGAATGTTTGCTTTGAAAAGAAAATGATGGAATGTTACAGTGACTTTAAAGCCCAGGACTTTTTTTGCTGCTTTGTCAGCAGTTAGATTTTTGTAAAAGCTTACTGTGATCTCTAGTATAAAACAGTGTTTTCATAATTGGCTCTCCTTTGCTTTAAGTAACTGCTGTGGCAAAACATTTTTATTGGGAATTGGCTTTAAAACAATCCTTTGTCATGCTGGTTATGTTCTGCAGCCTGCTGGCATTAGTGGAGGGATTGTTATAGTCACAAGATTTGCTGTTCTACTTTAATTAGCTGACAGTGCTTTGGTCATTGCTATGGTTTAATCACACGCTGGACAGTAGTTGGTACATCTCAACAGTTAACACACTTCAGTCCCAAATTTGGCACTACCATTCAATTTATTATCCATCTCTTCTGTGCTCAATACACCTTTAGTGACATTACTGTGTGTGTTTGCTGAATTATTTACATTGCAGTAAATTGTTTGACAGCCAGCAAGTACTACGTAAAAAATTAAACTGTTGCCTTCTATGCTGAAATACATCACTGATTTGCAATCAGTATTTTAACATATACAAAATTGATACCTACATAACAGTGAATGCTCATAACAATCTCATACTTAATATTCTAGTGAATCTTTCCCCAGTATCTAAATTTAATTTCTGAAAATTGTACATGACGATCTCACTTGTACTTACTGTGTTGGATATTTTGAAAGATCTTAAAATAGATTAACTATGAACGTAATGTGACATTGTCTTGCAATATTTATTACTGTAATACCTTGTCTGTCTTTTTTCACTTTGAGTGAAAGATTCCATTCTGTTGCGATATTTAGGAACATTAGGAGTGGGCAAATTTATGTCCTTGCTTTTATCAGCTTAATGCAACACTGTTCAGTGTTGATACAAATGTAAAAAGCAAGAAAAAAATGAACTAAAATTGGAGAGAGTTAAGAACAGTGTCATAGGGTATGTCTACATTGCATTGCTATGTCGGGATACCGGCGGTATCCTGAATAGCAACCTGGCATCTACACAAGCCACCCATTATTTTGAAGTATTTTTCAAAATAACAGGAACTCTGTTGTCCATCCCTGTAAATCTCGCTGCATGAGGGATAAGGGTTGGCTCGAAATATCGCGTTACTTTGAAATGCGGTGCTGCGTAGTGAAAATTGCTTATCTTATTTCGAATTTAGGGTGCTGTGTAGACACACCCATAATGTTTCTGCTGTATTTACTGCTTTCTGGTATCTTTGGGGGGCTTTTTCTTTTTTCTAATCATTTTACATAGTAGCCTTTGAACTGTGGAGTAGATTCACAAAGTAGTCACAGTGGCTTACACACACTTACCAAGTGTGTTCTTAGAATGTAGGCAAAAATCCAGGTTTAAATTAGTTACTCCCCTAGTTGGGGTAACCAAAGTTTCCAGCCTTCTGTTCACCATGGGTTGAACCTCTCTAGTCTGGCACTTTCTAGTCCGGCATGATTTTAGTTAGCTGACTGTCCATATTTCATGTGTGTAGCTAAGTTTTCTGTGGTCCCATAAAGTTTGTTTATAGCCACCAGTCCTGGCTCTGTGTTCTGTGCTGTTATTTAACAATAATTTACTCCTATATGTCTCTGAGAACCCACCAAGCAGTGGAAGTGTTGGTAATGCTGCTAGACAATATTTACCTTCTGTGGTTCGGCAATTCTTTGCTTCAGCACCGGTCAGGTCCCAAGGGAGCCAGACTAGAGAGGTTCTTCAAACCCAATGTCCTTTGTCTATTGAAATGAGCCTTTTTTACTTTCTAAATGATGGTATTGTATTCTTACCAATGCTGCTTGTTATAATTTAATCCTCATAAATTTAAAGGAACACATTGACTACTCTGAGACTCCGTTACAGATTATTTTACAGATTATTTTAACTTTTTTTCTGTGTTCTGTAAAGTCCTCCTCTGTGACTTGGTTTGCAAGAGTGGAAATCCAATGGGATTTTGTCTGAAGAGGCATATCCTCATGGATTAAAACTCTCCACTTCCTCTGCTTAGTTTGTTGGCTTCTGTAACATTTTGCTATACATTAATTTTACATTCCAATCTTTTTTGGATGACTACTGCTCACTTTTGAAAACTGACTTTAATATGCAAGGCACAGTGTAGAAAAGCAAGTGGGGTAAGCATTAAATGCATCTTTGGAGACCTGTAAGCTCAACTTGAAGTTTGTACTGCCCCTGCGGCTGAAAGCAAGACTTAAGTGTGTTTCTGCATATAACTGGGGGTAAATGTGGCTCAAAGTACATATCAAATGAAATAGGAAAATAATGCTCTTGATGCATCTGACATAGTGGGTCTTTGCCCACGAAAGCTTATGCTCCAATAAATCTGTTAGTCTATAAAGTGCCACAGGACTTCTCTTATTTTTAATATCTTGAAAAAGTATTGCTTTATAACATACTGAAACAAATAAGTTTAAACCAATTTGTCATATTGTGGAAGATGAAAATGTATCTACCTCAGAAGCAGAAACCTCTCATTTTTCTCTATGAACGGAAATGCCATTTAAAAAAAGTTTACAGTGCTATCAAGTGATCCTAGGATAGGTATCAATGATTTTGTAAGCCTGTACGTTGTTCTTCCATTTGAGGATTAAGTAGATAATGCTGTAAATTGCGGATTCTTTAATAGAGGCATAACACTGTTAAAACTGCCTTTTAATCATTGCAGACCAGTAACGGAGGAGGGAGTTTAAGTGATTATTCCTCCTCTGTTCCATCAACTCCAAGCACCAGCCAGAAGGAGCTACGGATTGATGTTCCTCCCACTGCCAACACTCCAACACCCGTTCGTAAACAGTCCAAACGCCGCTCCAACCTCTTCACGGTGAGTGAGCCAGGGAAGAAAATGTTTGTTTGACTGCTGACTAAACTTCGATCTTCGTAAGGCAAGCTAGTCTAGTCTAAATAGAACTGCCAGGAAGGTTCACTAGTTTCAAGGCAAAAGTCTGAAGATTTTTGAGGGCTTTCTTTGTTGGAAAACTCACCTAAATATGATGAAGTTACTTTACATGGTCCAAGTATTTCACTATTATGAAAATGATCATTCTTCTTTGAGTGATGTCCCTGACGGTGCTCCATTCCCGGTGACAGTGTGTTCTGATGTCATTGATTGGATACCCTTGGTAGCGGCACCTCATCGGGATGTGTGTGTACAGTTGCAGTGTTGTGGCATCGTTGGAATCTGTTGGACAAGCACATGTCCTGATCCGCTCAGTTCCTTCTCCACCATCAGGAATTGAAGATGGAAATTGGTGAACGTCTTCACCTTTAAATAAGTTAGCTATATTTCAATTGTTTAAAAAAAAAATTCTCTATCCCCCTTCTTCCAACTTTCTGCTCCCTTGGGAGCAAAACCTCCCTAAGTACTTGTCCTTGGACTGACTTTTCAAGGCAAGCTCTCAAGATACCAGCGTTCCCTCATTTATAAAAATGTGGCTCCTGCGAGGACTCATGTCGTGTTAGGACAGACATTTCCTCTGTGCAAAACGTCTCAGGTAGAGCCACATCCCAGCAAAGTGCGTCCACTACAACGGTTTGAAAGCCAAGGCTCACACAACTGGGACCTGCATTTAAAAATGGCCCTCGTGGAAAAATCTCTCCAACCAGGATCAGGGATGGGTATAACAAATTTCTCTCCATCGAGATTGGAACTGACCAAGAGTACAGCTCTACCCTCCAGAACACACACACAGAGAAAAAGAGCGCTTCAGCCTCCCCACACAGGGAACTGAGTAAAAAGAAACCATCCTTGGTGATGTCATTGTCAGCAGTGCCAACAGGCAGCACCTATTACTTCCCTGGTACCTTGGGTATCAGGCTCATGGTTCAGAAAAGTAAGAAGGCAAGCCCACAGAATGGACAGATCTTCTCTTTGGCACTGGAGGTGTGAACACCCCATGCCAGAGTCAGTGCCTTCTGTACAACCAACCCCAGAACATCTCTGCTGGACCACAGATGTTGCTAGACCAGAGAGCCCTGGATCAGAGCTACGAAGTGCTGGCCGTGGAGCTCCAGCGGCCCAGGGAAGAAGAGCATTCCCTTCTGCTCGTATGCTCAGGCCAGGTGCCTCTTTGATAAGATGGGGAGCACACCTTGATCATCATCATAGCACAAGGCAGGTGGTTCACAATGGAGACCTGTCTGCACATAAACCTCTTAGAACTCAGAGCCATCAGACGTGCATGAATTGACTTCCTCCCACTCAAGAAGCAAACAATTCAGTTTCTTGACAGACAATATAGCATGCATGTTCTGCATCAGCATCAAGGGGGAGTGTGATCCACATCCTTCACATTGAAGCCATCAGCACATTTGACATCATGGCCTGGGTGTCAGAACACTCTGGCTGACATGCTCAGAATACACTTCTGTGAAGAATATGAATGGGAACTAAACACTACAAAAGAACTGATCGGGGAGGGAGGAAAAAACCCTTCTGATTTCAACTGTCAGTGTCCAGTATATATAGAGAGAAAAATTTCCAAGGGGTGTGGAAATTCTCTTCTGACCAGATAATAACAGAGTTGATGTATGTCCAAATTCTTCCCCATCCCAGCCATGTGTCAGTCGAGTTCATACATCTATACCTATAGGTGTGTGTCTGTGCCTTCCGGGAAAAAGTTCCATATTGTTTCATCAAGGGGCAGAGTGCCTGAGGAACATACATAGGACGCTGCTAGCATTGTGTAGGCAGGTAGTCCCTGACTGGGAACAAGGGAACGGATTGGTTGTGCATACAGCTTGGGCTGGGGGGGGGGGGGGGTCTTTAGAAAAACAGGGTGCTGAACTATTTATAAGAAGATAACCATGTGCCAGCCTAGACCTTTCGTGAGCGCAAAACACTGTTAACTACCATGATTATGGAGTATAAACTGTATTAGACACAAATCATGTTTAGTTCCAACCTGTTACACAATCTGTTCAAAGCTGTAATATAGGCAGGCCTTAGAACATCGTACAAGTAGTTAAATGATAATTAATACCTAGATATTATACACGTGTTTTAAAAAAATAATGGTGTCTGAAAGCTCGCCAGAATTGTACGCTGACCTTTTATAAAGTGGTGTCCTCTTTTTATTTTTATATTTAGATCTTGTGAATTATGAACTCCACTAGATGTCAGTGTCATCCTTGGAACTGAATGGAGGTTAATAAATTTGAAAGTACTCACAACTGAAAATTGTTACAGCTCCATTTGGAAATGCCTGCCAACTTGCTCTTGTTTTAAATATGGATAGGTTACAGTGGGGATGGTTATAGGTAGTTGTGATGTAGAAAACCAGGGATGGCCTAAAACTTGAATACGCAGAAGAGATGCATAAATATTTTTTTATTCATTTCCTATCTTCAAAGAGAGAGTTATAAAAGAACACGTAAAATTAACTCTGTCATAAGCCAGCTGACTAAAAATCTATTTGCCTTGCCAAAGCAGGTTGTTTTTACACTATATATATTAATTTGAGAGGAAGAACAAACTTATTGGTTTTACTAACAAGTGGGCATATTCAGGTTTTTTTAACCAAAGTAAAAACAATTTTAAATGTTTTTAATTAAAACCTATTCATAATAAACACATTTAAATAATTCATATTCATAATAAACAAATCCATTTAGTGTTCCTTGATAAAATCCCTGTAACTGCTATACTTTTGATATTGAATAATACTTTCCATTGTTTAATTACTGGCTCTGCCTACGACTTTTTGGATGGAAACCCCCCTTGTAAGTATTAATGTCCCTTGCAGACCCTGTAATTGGCATGAAAGTTTGTATAAATAATCTTAAAACCAAGATTTAGACATTAGTGTGTCCTTTTAAAAGTCATCTACTTGTGTTCTACAGTAACTTTGTGTAAAACTATTCATATCTTGGAAATAATGTCAGCTATACAGCAACTTGAAATAATATTGAGGGAATAAATGGCAAATATTTTTCTATTAGCACTGTGGTGAGGAACAGGGATTCAGTTTTGTAACACGAGAACGTTCTAGTTTTGGCAAGGGGCAGCAAGGATTTAGTTAGCTAGATTTTAGTTATTTATTTATTTATTTATTTTAATTTGACTAAACACTGGTTGCCAGCCAAGATATGTTCGTCCCTTACTCCACATATAGTTTTCAGTTAGCATAGGCAGGGATCAGGGATCCCCTCAACCAAATGGTTTTGAATGGTAATTGGATGTTATCTCATGCCTCTTTATGACTTTACAGAGAGGATAGGTTTGAAGAATTTAAAAAAGTCAAGTTGTGGTATAGTATGTACAGCAACTGGTCTCCTCACATCTTCACTATGCATCAGCTTTCTATGTCTGATTTGTTGCACCGTTGACTTTTCCCCATTGGCAGCATCAGTAAATGCAGCATTTCTGCAAGTGTCTTTATCTTGTATTTACTGTTAATGGATGAAATTCACCTGTTTGTAAATCTAAGATAAGCATATGTTTTCTGCCTAAGATATTCCTCTACCTATATGATTAATACTATCCAAAGCGAGGTTTTGGATAGCAATAGTACCTATTTCTCTGATTTACAGAGCTGATTTGAATGAGCCTCCAGCCAATGGAGATCAGTAGAAGCATATGAACTAAACTATCATTACATTTTATAATGTGTTGCTGCACAATTTTAAGTGACTTGATATTGATTCTAAATTAAAATCAATACCTCAGTCACTGTGTTGGCACTTACAGGTTTATATATGTAACCGCTGTGCTACTTAGACCCCTCATTTTTAATACCCACATTCCTCAGTGAGGGTTGCTTCTGCGTTGTGAAAGGTGCTGTACTCCTACATAATACAACTCTTCCTGCACCAGAGAAGGAATATTTTAAATAATTGATTGTGTTAGGATATTAAGTTTAGATATTAGGATTCTGCTATAATTCTGTCTAGGCTGTATCTGCTCCAAAGGAGCAATGGACCGCATAGAGTGGCAGTACGAGGTGGTGTTTCGTTAATCGTTTGTGTGTGGCTTTATTTTTATATTCCCCTAATGAGATTTTAGTAGAACTACTAAGGCAAGTATGTGATCTATTACACTGAAAATTCATTCTGAATGCTGCCCAGTATATTGCCAACTTCTGTATCTGTTTCCTGTGGCATATAAGATGCACCTCTGTTTCAGTACAACATTGGTACAACGTGATGAGTTAAACATTACCAAGTGGAAATCTGCATTTGTCTGAAAACGTTGTGTTTAAAAGAAAAGCTGTTTATCATAACCAGCTAATAGACTAGAAAAATAGCTAACACCTAGAGTACCATCACTTCCACAACTGCATTCAATTACTTACTCACCTGCTGAAAAGATCCTTATAAAGCTATATAGGGGAGCAGGAAAAAAATGGTATTTATGGATTTTTTTTTAAATCTGCACATACGACTGAAAGTGTCCTCCATTTGAATTTTTTTTCTTTTTTTAATCGGATAGCTTTAAAATTTCATGTTAATAGTGCCCCTTTAAAGGATGACCTGGCTACCTTCCTCAGCTCCCTGAAGTCTATTTTAGGGAAGAGGAGCAATGGTTAGTTATCCTTGAAAATGGATCTCATCCATCCCCCTTGTTTTGCTTTCTTTTAATTATTCTTTCTTCAATTCCCTGGCATGTAATTCCACAATCTCGAACCATAGTAACTAGTAGTAGGAGATCCGCACAGAGCCAGGGATAGCTCTGGTCCCCTGCTGGGTAAATGTGCTTAGCAGAATGGAATCTTTCTGTGCTTTCTCTCTTCCTCCCGCTCTAGGCTAGTGCATTGAGTGATCTTCCTTCTATCCCTTCACCTGCTGGCTAACCTAATACGGAAAACGATTGTGAACTCTACATGTGATTCTAATCTACGCCCCTATTTTCAGCGCCTGTTCTGACATCTCTTTTTAGCTGTATTGAAAATCCAAAGCAGTGTCTTGCATCACTCTGATTTTCATTAGCTCTCCATTCTGGTGCTGGACACCATAAGTGTATTCATTTCATATATCATTGGCGATTTGAAAACCACAGGAAAATGTTTCCCCATTTTCAATTTTATGAGAGTAATGTTCCCATTGGAAAGTAATGGAGTGAAGTTGTCACTTGTCAGCGCAGTTATTAAGGAGGACGAGACTCAGATCCTTCTCTCATAGTAAAATAAATCTGTCAGAAAATCATCATGCTTGCACATCTCACACTGGAAAGGACAAAGATCTAGAGTCGTTCTTAAATTTCATTGTGTTTACCTAATGGCGAGACAAAATTACACTGCAAATCCCCAGCGCCTAAAACAATTCTTGAATAGGTGGATCTCACGTTTCATTTACAGAACATAATAAAGCAATTTACAGAGTTTTTCAAAACCTCTCTCTCTGGACAGTTGTGGTTTTGCTTCTCAGCGCTCTTATGCTTTGCCACAACAGATTGGATTTGTCTAGCATCAGCTGTTAGGTTGAGTTGGAAGTTACTGTTTTCTAGCCATCCAAAAGAAATAGGGGGGAAAAAGAAACTTGGTATGCTCGATGGTTGCATCATAACGTAATTATGACGAGTAATTAATATTTTGAACTATTTAGACATTACTTATGCAGAAACATTTATGTAGCAGGGTCTCTTAGTAGGAAGCTAGAATCTTCTTTGAAGCTACTCTAGGCAGCTTCTGAAATATGTTGTCTTGGGCGGTCTTGTTTTCCTATCTTACCTCTTGATTTTCAGTAATTGAAATGGGAATGCTTCAAATCTTAACAGATTATCAAATATGGGTAAAGGAGGGAAGTATTGCAAAGGTACCTTAGCAATAAAATAAACAAGATTATATGCTTGTCACATCATTCTGAATAGTCTACATTTTGTTATTTCGAAGTACATATTACAAAAAATGGTATACACCGAGCCCCCCCGTATGTCAACCAAAATGTTTAACATAGTGTGAACTTTCATTTTTCCCTGCAGTCTCGGAAAGGGAGTGATCCAGACAAAGAGAAGAAAGTCCTGGAGAGCAGAACAGATAGCATTGGAAGTGGCCGTGCAATCCCAATGAAACAGGTATGCTGCTTTTTTGCTTTCCTATAGTTAGAGACACACCTCTGGTCTTAAACATGATGGTGCTGGGCCTCTGTGCCAAGATTTGTTTGATGTGCTCCGGTGATGAATGTGGAAGTCACTCACTTGACATCAATTAGGAGAGGTTCCTGTGTGTATTAAAATAGGATCATTAGAATAAGAAGAGGGAAAATGTGACAACAGGCCTAATGAAGTGCAGTCTGCCGGCCTGCATATGGAGCATGTTTCTAGGCTGAGCTGGCTTCAAAGCCTGCCTTTGTAGAGAATGCTTTGATTGGGCCGTTTGCTGCCAGTCGACAGGGGTAAATCAGATCGCTGTACAAGAGCCCCTTGTGATAGCAGAAATAGCCTGATGTGGCCCTAATTTGCTATTGCAGACGGACATCTGAACACTGTTTCAGGCTGGTTTGTAACAACGAGGCAATTAGTTGTGATAATCATAGCCGGTGTGTCAGCTGTGTGCTCTTGTTTGTAATTTGCTAATGAAGGAATTGTAACTTTGATTAGGTTCAGTTTCATTTAGACCTTATTATATAAGAGAACATTTACAGCTGTAATCTGTGGCCTTAATTAAACTTCCTCATTACACAACAGGATTTGAATTCAAGGATTTGTTTTGGCCTGTTTTTACTAGCCTACATGCACTTTCATTAGCCCACAAACTGGATGTTCAGTTTTGCTAATGAAGGAATTGTAACTTTGATTAGGTTCAGTTTCATTTAGACCTTATTATATAAGAGAACATTTACAGCTGTAATCTGTGGCCTTAATTAAACTTCCTCATTACACAACAGGATTTGAATTCAAGGATTTGTTTTGGCCTGTTTTTACTAGCCTACATGCACTTTCATTAGCCCACAAACTGGATGTTCAGTTGTTCCTATGCACGCTACTTCAGAAGGGAAAGATAATCCTGGAATCTGTAGTGCCGAATGAAATAATTGACTTTTCAGTACAATTTAATCGGAAAGCATGCAGCTGCCAGGGCTGAGCATTTTGAGCATTTGTGTGGGATGGTTAACAACAGTTTTGTTAGCACTAGTTGCAAGTTCTTTTCAAGTGGGAGCTGCCCTTATATTAGAAAAAGGTGTCAAGTGAAAGACAAAAAAGATTCTTCCCTTCACAGCTGCCACATTTTTTCTTTTGTTGCTTCTCTCCCCCCCCCCCCCCCCCCGACTCCTGTTCTTCCTGCATCATCTTGCTGGCAAGGCAACATTCTTCCGTTTTGCTTTTGAGCTCTACTTGCGTGCGGCTTTTTCTTTTCTAAAAAGCGGTTTAACATTTTTTTGGCACTTCAGGTAGCAAAACTATGCCCTATTATCAGTATTGATTTTTAGAGAACTGTAATCAAGCATGTTGCTATTGTGTGATTCCAGCACATAATCTCTGGCACTGCAGGTAGTGGAGGAAATACCAGAACTTGAGTGAGAGAATGGGAGAGGGCTTTTTCTACCAAACTCTTCCTCCTCCTACCCCCCAAAATTCTGGCCATTGTCTTGGTATTAGCTGTGATAAGCTCGGTAATAATTTTGAGTAGATACAGAGTGTTTAAATTTTAGCACTGTGTAGTGAAATGTAGCTGCTGCTCTTAATGAAAGAGCAAAAATGGGGGAAACTGAGGAATATTGTTGCTGTACCTTTTTTCAAAATTGCTGGTGCCATTCTTTCTAGAACTCAGTTACACTGATAGGGTCAGAAGAATCAAAGCTAAAATGAACTCTTCAGAGGATATCTGAGGGCAACGCATATACAGAGCAAAAATGTGTCTTGCAGGGATGTAATAAAATATCCACTACATTCAATAAACTGGAGCTCTGTGCTCAACTGAAGAGGGAAGATTTCTGTGACGACTTCAATGGCTGATAAGTATCCCACTGGTATAGAAGGGTGTGTGGCTATTTTTCAGTCTTCTGGGAATGATTTTAATTTATTAATTCCATATATGTAAGGTGTGGCTTACACTTACATATATGGCGAGGAGTCCTGTGGCACCTTATAGACTAACTGAAGTGTAGGAGCATAAGCGTTCGTGGGCAAAGACCCACTTCGTCAGATGCATGTCTTTGCCCACGAAAGCTTATGTTCCTACACTTCAGTTAGTCTATAAGGTGCCACAGGACTCCTCGCCATATATGTAAGTGTAAGCCACACTCCCCAAAATACTCAGTGGGTCACTAATCAGCAGATTTTTTTTTCTGTTTACACTAATACAAACAGGACTAGGAGAGCAAGATGAAGTAAGTTTGCCCTGCTCTGTCACAACACTCACCATCAATGTGTCTCATTCTGCAAACTGTCAGCAAGAGACTGAATTTGCAAAGGATTTGGCATGTTTTCATTTCCATTTTGTACATGGTAATATGCACTTAAGCGCACTAGAAACATCATGGGTTGGCATGGCCTGATCTGTACCTAAAACTTCAGTTGGCTGAGCTACGTTGCTCAGGGCTGTGAAAAATATCATGCCCCGTGAGAGACAGGTCAACCGAACCCCAGTTGTGGACGTAGCTATGTCGATGGAAGAATTCTTCCATCAGCCTAGGTACCAACTTCTGAAGCGCTGGATTTACTACAGTGAGGGAAAAATTACTGTAGTTAGTGTCCACGCTACATTGGTGTGTAGCTACGATGCTGCATCTGTGCCATTGTAATACTTGGAATGTAGACCCAAGTCTCATAAATTAGGATGCAGTAGGGAAAAAATGGTACCTGAGCCAACAGAGGGCATTTCATCAAATATATGTATACAAACAGCCCACTTACCCATGCTACCCAGTGGAGATTGATACTTTTACAGACCAGTGAGTGAAGAGAGGATCTTTGACACCAATGGCGCTCACCTTGTTAAGGGCATTACTTGAATACTAGGGAGAATAGTAATACCAGAGTACAGTCCTTAGTAGGGTCTATCATTCTTTACTATAATTCTTTAGTTTTATCGAAAAAATGATAGCATGGGGAATTGGAAGCCTCTATTCCTTCTCTATTTTTGAATAGACTGTCTGTTGACTGGAAGATTTTTAATCTGTTTTTTTCCCCCTTTTCCATAGGGATTTTTTTCCTTCATATGATGTAAACCATCTTTGAGTCTACTACTTACTTAATGTTTCCAATATAAAAACTATTGGGAACCCTAGACATAAAAACTGAAATTTTTTCAGCAAGCATTAAAATAAAGAGGTATCTGTATGAGGCTGTCAGTTAATTAAAAATGTAACACTGTTTATTTAAATCTAATTTGCTCCATATGCTTCATTTTCAAAGCTTGTGTCAGTTGTAAGTTGTAAGACAAATATTAAGTGCTTGAAACCCTGGAGGTGGTGAATTATCTTGCTATTAAGTCTGCTTTAAGTCTGTTTAAAGTTATTCAGGTAACTACTCCCACACATTCATCCTCCTTCCCATACGCTGAATGCAGGCACCTGAATATGGGATGTCTGTCACACTTGCCTAATTGTTTAGTGTGTTGTCTTTCATCAGCACTGAATCCTTGATTACAACTGCATCGGGATAAATTACTAATGCTGCATTCGAGTTTCTGTTGTGAATGAAACCACGAAGAGGGCTTTGAGATCTAAGAACTTGACTAATACTTTTACATGGTGCGGTTTAAAAGATAACAGGACAGCATTCATTTATTTCTGTGAAAGGGGGAAATGGTAGGGAAGTAGAAAGATACTTCCATTTGTCTTCAGGCAGTGCAGTACAGATTGCAATATTCTGTTGCAAGAATATCATTTTGTATTGTTAAAAAGAAACCCCTATTTTAGCCCATCTTTTCCTGCATTAGCCACCTATTAGCCCTGTGGTGACCATGCCCCCTTGCCTCATACTGCAGGTGATTGTCCATCAGTGACTCCTGCCATGCAAAAGGCCCTGTGCCTGCAGGACCATTCCTGTAACTGCCGTCGGGAGTAGTGGGTTGGCCATCTTGCCATGTGCACATGCAGTCTTCCATTATGCCACTGGGCCTTCTTTGAAAGCCCAAAGCTGTTATGCTTTTTTCAGATCTCTTGTCAATGCTAGTTTTGGACTCCGTGCAGGCTCTTGTATGTCATTCACCAGTGCAGTATTGTGAAGATGGGCTAGCAAGTCAGCGCTTTAGGAGCAAAGCAGAAATAACCTTTCCTTCACAAGTCTAACTCATTATTACTGGCAAAAAGGTAGAGAGTTTCATGGTGGTGTTTGTGCAGTAGTAATAGCAAAGCTTTTTTAAAAAAAAAAAAAAAATTGCTATAGAGCTATGGATAAAATTATACCACCATGGATTCTGACCCCTCCTGCCCCACCCTCCACAACCATTCCCCACCAACGCCCCCCCCCACATCTCTCCCCTCCTTCACCCCCGGCAAAAGATTATATTCTGCACCATGTTAAAAAAAAAAAAAAGTTCAAATGTTAAAGTGAGAGGTTAATGGATCCACCTTGTCCCTCCACTGCTCCCAGATGGTCCTTCATTGCTCACTACATCTGAATTATATAGTAATCTAGCCTTGATGTATATATTTCAAGGTTAGAAATGGATCCCATGAGTAAAATAATAGTTTTATCCTCCCTGGTTTTAGAGGACCATGTTAAGGAGGGAGGAAAGTGTTAATTCGGGCATGTGAATCTGAGAGTGAAGGATTCTGTATCAGGGAGTAACAAACAGGATCCCTTAACTGTTCATGTTCACATGAGCTAACGTTTTTAAGCTCTAGATTTGTCTGTCTAGAAAATATAATCTTGTTTTGGATGTTAAAACGCAGAGAACCCACGTTCAACCTGGAGTCTTCTCCAGGCCAGATGTACACTGGAACCCTTTTTGCTGGTGTAGATATACCCGTATGTTATATAGACAAAATACTCCTAGAGGGACAGTATATATACGCAGAACTGCTTTTGTTGGCAAAGCTAACTGCATCTGCACAAAGCCTTTTGCTGGCACAGCAGTGTCAGTCAAACCACATCCCAGACCTAACTGGCTCCACTGGCCAACGTAT